ACTATAGTTTCCAGTACATATTGGCAATCCTATGGAAATAACTTTCAGGTATGCAAAGGTTTCAGGATACTCTTAATATGGTATTGTAGTGAAAATGAATTGAATAAGAAAGTTAGCATTTTTGTTTAATAAAATTCTCTAGTTTTCTGAGGAAAAAGAAGCTGTATAATTCCAAAGTAATTAGGATTTCGACTGAGCATTAATAAAGCCCTAAGTTCCCACCAAGGACACTGTGTAATGTGTGGGGGAGGACTCCTCTGCCCCTTCTCTGCCTTTGTTCTTGTTTATACCCAGTGCCTCTCTAGTTTATGCTTCATAATAAAGTACCAGCTATTTCCTGCCCACGCCTCTGTTGGAAGACAGAGCATGAGAATTGTAATGGAAAGCACAGATCAGAATATTTTTCGGATTTGTTGGTGATCTTTAAAATGCCCATTTTAAACATAAATATTTATGCCTGTTGCCAAGCTGAACCTCAATTTGTTATGAGGAGAACTTTGATTAGTCTGTAGTCTGAAGAGGACCCATGTAAATAGTAGTTACCATTTATTATGACAGCATTGGTGGAAAACTCAGGAGAGAGGAGAGTCTGATGCTGGTTTTCATATTCTGATTCCATACATAAAAGAAAGAATGGATCAGCCCTGGGTAAGCATTCAACCAGCTCACATGCTGGTTGTCATAACTTACAGTCTCTGGGTTTAGGGACTGCGGTCATCTTTCTGAGTCATGCACACCTGTGAAATGGAAAGGTGATGTAAGTACAGCTCTTCTTTATGGAAGCTTTATCGTTATTATTATTATTATTTTAAGACCCAGTATTGTTCTAACAAATTTAAGTGACCAAGGGGAGTATGAGTATAATGGGCCAGTACTTTTTAATGTGTGTGTGTGTGTGTGTGTGTGTGTGTGTGTGTGTGTGTGTGTGTGTGTGTGTGTGTGTGTGTGTGTGTGTGTGTGTGTGGTGGGGGTTGGGTTACAGCTCTGACTTCTTATAGATTCCCAGGCCCAATCCAAAGATTATAGAGTCAGAATCTCTGGAATCTGTGCCTAGGAATCTGCTTTTGAGCACAATAGCTGGAGGATGCATACAGACTCAGAAGTTTGGGAGTCATTGCTTGAGGTAATAGAGTCTGCAGTTGTCTATTGCCTCTGAACTGTCAGCCTGTGCCTGGAAAGCTTTTAGTCCCTTAGAGTGCTTCCCAGGAAGATCCTAGAGATCTGTGGTTTTACTGTTTTTTTTCCCATAACTGAATTGACTCTTACCTGAATCACAATTAGATAAATCAGTGTCCAGTTATGTAATTAAACTGAAACAAAAACAATTTAGTCCTTACGTTGGCCAGTCTGGCTTATCATATGACATGACAGATAGGTTTCCCAGAAACATGCATGGGGACCCTAAGAATTTGAAAGTCTCCAGGAATTTCTTCTGTTTTTCACGTTACTAATGATATTGCAATACTCTGTCAGCAGGATTCAAGGGGTGTTATCAGAGACCAACCTTATTCTTGCCCTCTGCTGCCTTTTCAAACCATCTCTGTGGGATTAATGCTTCCCTACTCCTTGGATAAAAAGTAGAGTAAGCTTCATGAATTTTTTACACACTTTTAAGCTGGAAAGAGTTATTTACTCTCATTCCTAGATACATAAAAATTCTATGCCATTAACTGATATATCCAGGATAGAAAAATAATTAAAATTTTTTTAATATTGATTTATTTATTTGTGTGATAGAGAAACAGAATGTGAGTGGCAGGGGCAGAAAGACAGGGAGACACAGAATCTGAAGCAGGCTCCAGGCTCTGAGATGTCAGCACAGATCCCAATGCAGGGCTTGAACTTGTGAACCATGAGATCATGACTTGAGCTGAAGTCAGATGCTTAATGGACTGAGCCACCCAGCTACCCCTAGAAAAATAATTTTTAAATATCTCCAAATGTTCAGGTACCTGGGTGGCTCAGTCAGTTAAGTATCTGGCTCTTGGTTTCAGCTCAGGTCATGATCTCATGGTTCGTGAGTTTGGGCCCTACATTGGGCTCCATGCTGATAGTGCAGAGCCTGCTTTGGATTCTCTGTGTCTCTCATTCTCTGCCCCTCTGTTACTCGTCTTCACTCTCACTCTCAGAATAAATAAACTTTAAAATAAATAAATAAATAAATAAATAAATAAATATCTCCAAACTTTATTAAAAGTTACTTTTTCCCCCCTCTCTCAGCTCAGATTTTGCTTGGGCTGCCTATTTGCTGTGAAAAAAAGACAGTTCAGTAGGGTCCTTTCTTTTTCTCTGCTCAGGGACTTTGCTTGTCTTCTAGGGCTTTTGCTTTTATCCCTTTAGCTCAGAAGGCTGCCTCAGGTTCCTCCAGAGCGGAGGGAGGCAGGGTGTCAGGTTAGAAGGGGAAAGGGATTGAGGTGCCTGGGTGACTCAGTTGATTAAGTGTCCAGCTTCCGCTCAGGTCATGATCTCACCGTTTGTGGGTTAGAGCCCCGCGTTGGGCTCTGAGCTGACAGCTTGGAGCCTGGAACCCGCCTCAGATTCGGTGTCTCCCTCTCTCTCTGCCCTTCCCCCGTTCATGCTCTGTCTCCCCCTGTCTTTCAAAAACTGAATAAAAGTTAAAAAAAAAATTAAAGAAGGGGAAAGGGATAAGAGTTGATTTGATAGATATGCATACAAAGCTGGTATAGATCCTGCCAGATCCGGCGGGGGCTGCAAACAGACTCTTCATTTCATGGAGCAATTTCTTGGCTTTCTCAGGAACTCAGCATTACTCGATATGGGCTAAGTATCTCCTCTGGGGACACTTTAAGCTCCAGGTTAGCCAGCTGAACACTCTTAACCTCTTTCTGATGAGGTCTTATTGCCCCCAACTCCAATATCCAAGACATCACCAAACTAGCCCCACTAATACCCAGTACACACATGGTCTGTGTGAAACTGACACATACCTTTTACTCTGACAAGCTGTGAGAATACAGACCATGCCCAATCTTGCCACCTTTCTTGCTTTGCTATCAAGGTGGCTGGCTAACCAGCCACAGACTGTAGCATTTTGGATCTTGCAGGTGGTATAGAGTCTAGTACATGGCTTCTTGAGTGCAAGGAGGCACTTCTCAAGTTCTCTAGGGAGTTAGTTCCATTGAATTCTTTTCCCATAGGTTTGAGGTGAGAGAGGAGGACACCCCCAATTCACATGGAATGAGGGTAAGTAAAACTTACAGTTCAATATGTCTCCTTTAGGAAATCCTCCACCTATCTCTTTCTTTCTTCTCCACCTCTTTTTTTTTTTTTTAATTTTTTTTTCAACGTTTATTTATTTTTGGGATAGAGAGAGACAGAGCATGAACGGGGGAGGGGCAGAGAGAGAGGGAGACACAGAATTGGAAACAGGCTCCAGGCTCTGAGCCATCAGCCCAGAGCCCGACGCGGGGCTCGAACTCACGGACCGCGAGACCGTGACCTGGCTGAAGTCGGACGCTTAACCGACTGCGCCACCCAGGCGCCCCGTCTCCACCTCTTTTTTAGACTGGTGGTGGGTGGTCAGCTGGGGATTAGAAACTGGTTCTTGACTCTTTTCTTTGGATGTTTTGAAATGGGGTTCTCATACTTCACTTTAGTAATATGGGTGTAGGGCTTCAACTTAGGGATTCATCTGGGACATTGGCAAAAAAAAAAGCGTTCCATTTTAACATCTCTTTGAAATCATAATAATAGCTAATTTATATTGATCACTTCTTATGTACCAGACACTCTTTCATACATGCTTTATCTCACTCTGTCTTTCCCAAAATCCTTTAAGGAAACAAATCCAGAGAAGTCAAATAATTCATATAAACTCACCAGATTGCAGGTTACAAAATTCTGCTGACATTGTGCATTATTTTCCTTATAGAAAAATGGGAATGATTTTGTCTCTTAGAAAGAAAATGGTATGCATTCATCAGAAAAAAAAAATTGCTACAGCTGTTTATAATTCTGGCTCTTTTGATAGTAAGACGTAGAATTTTGGAGAAAATTAGTAACTGTCACTTGGTAATCATTTTAATATATTTTATTCACCTAATTCTTAGAACATCTTGTGATATGAATGGCTTTATCTCCATGTTGAGGCCAGGAAGACATTATGTGACTTCCTCTAGATCATACAACCAGGAATAATTGGAGCCAGGATTTAAACCCAAAATTTTAGATCCTGCCTTCAAGTTTGCTTTTCTCTCTACTCTGATGGGACATTATAGCAGAAGGAATATCTTTAATGTGGGTCTCTGAACTGTGGCAAATGTTTAAGTTTTTTGGTTAAAGCTACATTCTAACATGTTTGACTCTAGATAAATCAATATTATAAAGAAGTCAAAGTTTTTGCTAACATCCTTGAAAGCAAAGAGCATCTCATTCATCTTAGAATCCCTAGAGCCCAGTTCAAAGTTGATACTTTATTAATGAATGAATTGAATGAATTAAACTAATAAGCAAATTAATGAATACCTTTCTTTTAAACTCTTGAGTGGAATGTAAACTTTTATGTGAATTAGATTATCAGCATTCTCTTGGGTATTTACATTTTATAAGATGACCCTGGAAGAACTCAAATGAATGAGGTCTAAAGCTGAATTTCTGATTCTACCATTGGAATAGGGTTGAAAGAGTAAGTGAGACAGAGTTTTTCTCTGGAGTCTCAAATTTCATTGCAGAGAGAACAGGTTACCCTGTCTCCATGCCTTAAGGAAAAAGTAGAATGCGTCCTTTGTGTCAAAATATGTCCAGAAACCTTGTATCTCAAGGAAGCATGTTCTAATAATTTTAGTTATCCAGAAATAGAGCAGCCTGCTTCTAACTTCTGCTAAGGGACGTGTTGGCTGGGCTCTGGAAGGAGAATTGAAATGTTGGTGTGGTAGACCAGATGGCCTCTAATACTCTGTCCTGAACTTTTAAAGATCTGGGATGCATTCAGGTAGCTGATGGCAAGGACACAGCTAATCAAGTCTGTCTGTTGTCCACAGGTCTGAGGCGCAATTACAGATGTACCATCTGCAGTGTCTCTCTAAACTCCATAGAACAGTATCATGCCCATCTGAAAGGATCTAAACACCAGACCAAGTAGGTACTTTCATGCTCTCACTCTTCGGGCCTTTTGTGTATAATTTATAGTATGGTGAAAAAAGGCTAACATTTTACTTATTTCAAAATAAGTCAATAGAAACAGGATCTCTTTATCTTCAAATTTCCCTTGATATTTATGTTGAAGCCTCCAGGGTCTACCTAGCACAACTTAAAGAATGGCTTCTTCTTTTTTGGCACAAGTAATGACAGGCTTTTTTGTTTGCTTATTTTCATTCTTTAATTTTTTTAAGAGCAGCTCAGCGTATTTTCACAAATTTCAGGAAACTTTTAGAGATATACTAAGTGTTTCTAAATGAACAATTTTATCTGTGTTTGGAGGATGTGGCAGACTTCAGTGTTGTGAAGTCATATTCTATGATTTTCTTCTACCACTTAACATTTCTAGATGAATATTGTTGATTAGTATAGAAACCCAACAAATCCCCTGCTATATTAAGTTATTCCCATGCATAGCTATTTTCCAATTAAATGGAAGCTCATTTCATTTTTCTCCCAAATTTCAGATAGCCAGAAAAGGCTATTGGGCATAATTTCACCTACATATTTCCCAGTATAAATATACTGTGCATCTTTTAAAAAACAGTGACATTAGCTTTGTAGGCATTTTTAAAGTAGCTGCCAGGACTGCTAATAAAATCTAATAAAATAGGGGAAAAAAAGCAAAGAATATCTCAAAAATATGCAATTTTCCTGAGTGTAATTGTTTTAATTTCACTCCTATTCATTAGTAGAGTTGTTTAACAAATTTAACTATATCAAGGCCTTGTGATTAATGAATGATTCATTCAACAAACATTTACTGAGCGCCCACTATGTGTCAGATTTCAAAGTGTGCCCCGGGGAAGAAAAGATGAATCAAATTAGGCCTTCCTCTTGTGGAGCTCCCTGCCAGGCAGAGGAAACAGCCATGTGAACACAGGGATTATTCTCTAATACCAGGATGTGTACACCCAGAGCTTTGGGTACCCAAGAGGGAACAACCAGGCCAAGTTTGACAGGGACATTGGCGAAGAGCCTGGGCATATAAATGAGGTTGTGGTCTGATTGTACTCACCATCATAATAACCTCACTGCCCGGCACAGCACTTGACACATATGAAGGGCTTCATAAACATTTTGATCGAATGGATGTGTGATTTTAAAAGATGAGTGACAACTTTCCAGGCAGGGGCATGAGGAAAGTGCATTACAGTCAAGGACTTTATTATTATTATTATTATTATTATTATTATTATTATTTTATTGTTTGCAAAGGTATCATAAAGATGTAGGTCACAGGGGTCTGGTGTTGGTGAGGAAATTTAAGCCTGGAGTTAGTTAGGACTCTCAGTATTCCCTCAATTGGCACTGTCTCCTGAGTCAAATCCCCTTTCATGACTTACTTTACTCTGATCTACCCCAGAGGGTTTTGTTGAGGTAATTCTTCAAAAAGACTGTCTCTGATTCGTGATGGAGTACCTAGGACACTTGTATTGATTACTGGACACCTCCCCCCCTTCCCCTAACAGTTTACTCAGTGTGTCTCTAACTAGTATTTTGTGACAGGCACTGAATGCAGTCTTACCAACATGACATCTGATGGACACAAAGACACATTACAAGCAGCTGCAACAATAAATGATCTTTTAGAGGCATGCATTTATTGCTCTTAACAAATAAAAAGAAAATGGTAGACAATAGTGACTTTAAGTGGCACAAATTAGGTAAATAAATAATGCAAATAGTATCTCCAGCTCCAGGAATATCTCTATGTGCCAGAAAGTGTGCTAGGCATTTCCACACCCATCATCTCATTTAATCCCCTTAACTACCTTCAGATAAATGTCATTAACCCATTATTTTACACAAGAAAGTTAAGACTCAGAGGGACCAAAGCATCACCTTGCCAACAAATGACAGAACCAGGACTGAACCTAGTAGTGTCTGACTCAGGCTCACTGAACTACCACAGTGAGGACTGCCAATAGAGAGTACCAGGATGAACTTTGAAAAAGAGAGCATTCCTTTCCCAGTGGCTTTAATAAATAAATGTGACTTCAGAAGTGTACATCTCCTACCATGATTTCTTTCCAGTAAAAAAGACATTTGTCTCTACCTCAGAAGTACAAGGTTGTTCTTCTAAAGAGTGAAATGAGGGAAACATGAGGGGAATAATTGCAAAAGCCCTGTCCTATGTGACTGTTTCATCTGCCCTTTTACCTAATTTGGATATTGCGTGTGTGCATGTGTGTGTGTGTGCACGCATGTGTGTTTACAAGACAGATTGTTCCATGAGTCTTTTGTAATCAATCCCCTTGTCAGGTTTGGTATCAAGTTGATGCTGACCTCACTAAACAAGGTGAGAGGTCTGCCCTCTGTTGCTAATCTCTGAATGAGTTTGTAGTGAACTGTTGTCACTTCTTACTTAAATATTAGGAAGAATTCATTAGGGAAGCCATCTGGACCTGGAGATTATACTGTGGGAATGTTTTTATTGAAAATTTAATTTCTTCAATGAAGCCCTGTTCATATTTTCTATTTCTTCTTGTATCAGTTTTAATAAGTTATTTTTCAATGGCTTTGCCCTTATTATCTACATTTTTAAATGTATTGGTATAAAGTTGTTCATGGTATCTCCTGATTTTATTTTTAATGTCTGTGGGATATTTTTCATTCCTAATATTGTTTATTTGTCTCTTCTCTTTTAAATTTTTTTATAGTTTTGTTAAAAGTTTATCCATCTTTGAGTCTTTTTGAGAGATGAATGTTGGGATTTGTTGACCTTTCTGAGTACAGCTCTTTTCTGCCATTAAAAAAAAGTGTTTTTCTTTCTAGTCCCTGTGTATTTAATTTTCATTTTCCTCCATCAGATTCTTCATAGGAAAGTGTAGATCATCCATTTTCAAGTATTTCCTTTTCTCCTAAAATATGCATTTAAGGTTCTCAATATTCCTCAATAAACTGTTATAGCTATATTCCACAAGTTATTTTTTTTTGTATCCTAGAGGTTTTATATGTATTTTAATTATTATGTATTTCAACTTATTGTCTGACTTTTACTGTGATTTCTTCTTTTACTTATGGTTATATATAAGTGCTTTGCTTAAAATCTAACATGTGGGGAATTTTTCTATTTATATTTTGGAGGATTAATTTGTACTGGATTTCACTGGGGTCAGAGGACATACTCCAAATGACTTCAGTCTCCTGAAATTTGGATAGACTTGCTCTGTGCCCCAGGCAAATGTTCAATTTTGATAAAACTCCATGTTCCCTTGAAAAGAATGTGTCTTTTCCAGTAATTGAGTAAGTGGTTCTGCATATCAATTAGGTCAAGTTTATTAATCTTGTTTTTTAATCAATTTTTTTAATCTTCTGTGTTACTGATTTTTTGTCTGTTTTTATATCCATGAGAAATAGAGGTACTTAAAAAACTTCTGACTAAAAATATGGATTTGTCTATGTGTCCTTTTAATTCTACTTCTTTGCTTTATATGTTTAAAGGTATATTATTAGATGCTTACAAATTTAAGAATCTCTAAAAATATTTATGGAATTGGCCCTTTTGTCATCATGAAATGTCCTTTGACTAGTAACACTGTTATTAGAGTACATTGACATCAGCTACCCCAATTCTTCAGAGCTTCCAAAGTTTTTCCTTTAAATTTTAGCCAGCTTTTGTTTTGTTCTCAGGTGGAAGGTTAGTATGATACCAATTACTCTCTCAGAGCTGAAATTGGAAGTCAGCCAAATGGTTCTTAACGACTCTAATCTGACCGATTAAATCACCATAAATATTAAGGTGTCAGTAATTTTCAAGGACTTTTATTTATACTTTCAGTAATAACTTCTAGAGAGGTGTTCAGATGGGTTGTGTAGTGGAAAGAACACTGAATTTGAGTCAGGGGATTTTATTTCAAGTGCCACTTCACCACTGAGTGACCAGGGGCAGTAACAAATGTCCTTTAGGCCTCCGTTACCTCATAGATAAGTGATTAGTGATGACAAGAACAGGAAAAGTACATGTCCACTTCCCATACCTTGCTCACGATCCTGGTATTCTTTCCTGCTGCTACTGAATTAAGCCTTAACATTCTCTCCCCAGTCAGCCTCTACTATTTTACTGGAGCTAGCAATGTCTTCCAAAATTATGTCCACCCAGAAGCTCAGAATGTGAACTTTTTGGTAAATAGGGTCTTTGCAGATGTAAACAGTTAAGAATCTCAAGATGAAATCATTCTGGTGTCTTTATGAGAGGAAGAAAGGGATATTGGGGCACACAGAGTAAAAGGCCACGTGAAGACAGATGTAGAGATTAGGATTGTTTCTACCAGCCAAGAAAATCCAGAGCCAGCAGGGTGTGGAAGAGGCAAGGAGGGATTCTCCTCTAGAGCTTTTGGAAGAGGCCGCTGACACCTTGATTTCAGGCATATATTCTCTAGAGCTGAGGATATATTTCCATTGTTTGAAGCCACCCAGTTTGTGGTACTTTTTTTAGGGGAGCCCCAGGAAATGAATGCATTGTGAAACGTACTTGTCTTGTTCCAGAAGTATCCTTTTAGTTATGTTTTCTAGGCATCTCCTTCTTATGTCTATGCCAGTACTAACAGCAATGATGATGATGTACATGGTGAGGATGCCACCACTGTTAACTGGAGGAAACTTCTGCATAATTGGAGTATAACAACAAATTAAAACACTTTGAAAGTGTTATTATATATAATATGCACAGCATCCCTGTAATTGGCCAGATGTTCACATCTCCATTTTATAGGTTAGAAAATTAAGAGTCTGAGAAGTGACTTGTCCAAGGCCCCAAAAATAATTGGTTGTCAGACCCAAGGGCAGAAGTCAGGGTATCAGCCATCATTACTATCACTGCTATAATAATACTTAAATAATACCATTATTAACATATTGCTCTTTCCTAGTAGTAAAGAGCATTTTTGTTTTTTTGGCAAATGTCATAAACAGCAAAATGGCAGTCAAATTTTGCT